CCCCCACACCCCCTCCCACCAGTCGCGGTTGCACATTATAATTCCTTGGCCACTTACCATTTATTTGGATTCATTAAAAAAATCAGCCAGTTAAAAGTGATATACGATCCTGTCTCAAAGTTGTAAGCATCAGGTTTGATAGGGGGGGTTCAGACCCCCCGGACCCTCCCCCTGGATCCGCCACTGATGTACACAGAAGATGTCATGTAACTTTAATTACTGAAAAGTATATTTTTCTTATTTACACTGTCACATGCAGATACTCAGATCATTCACTTGTGAATGGTGAACACATCAGGAAATTTAAAAAAAGCATCTGCTCTGCTGTTGGGTAAATATACACCATTCTCCACGAGAGATATTTGATGTGTAGTCACATGTACATTTAGGTGTGAGAGATTATGAACTTGATGTCTAGTTGTAATTTGAGGAGGTTGCATACCTAGGGCTGCTATGGTTTTTATTTTCTTGAACTTTCTCCTTGAAACTTCTCTTAACCTACCTCTGAAAATGTTGAGTTCTGACCAAACAATGTCAAATTTTGTCTTGAGCATCGGGCATTGGAAAAACCAGTGAGAAATTATTTCTTTAATATACATACATCCTTTATTTTGTGATACAGGTCAGGAGTGGTAACTTTATAGAGCTGACTTGGACCTGTAAAATATAGGTAGATTAAGTATGTGTGGGTTAAGTCAGCCTTGATCAATAAATTTTTGCTAAAACTTGTTTGTTTGCCCAACTTAAACATGACACAAACAGTAACTTTAGTACAGGTGCATCACATTCAATTTTCGAAATACTTGTATATTTATTTACTTGAAATAGATTTTGGATATCAAATTACGACTCTGACTTTAAAAAAGATGAAGACCTTTCTTTGCTAGTGAAAGAATTTATAGAAGAATTGGAAAGTGAGGAGGAGAGGAAAATCATTCATCTGTCCAACATGTAAATATTCATTGTGTTATAAAGCTGAGTGTAGTTACTGTTAATAAAAGTAGGCATTTTGATAAAATAGACACATTTTAACAAATGAACAGTGTTACAGGGGTAGGTCACAATATTTATGGTCTTTTTTTAAGTTTCTCTTGTTGATTTGTCACATACCTGTAATGTAATATTTTTCTGTATAAAATATAACTTTTGTAACAAATTGGAAGACAGTTTGATGGTGCCATTTTGATGCAAATTGTGGTAAACCTAAGTTAGGTGTTATTTGACCATTAATTCATTTACTAAGTTTTGTTCATTGCTTTCAGTATTTTTAGTTTTGCTCTTTTTCATTTTTCAGACGAGAAATCAATGTAAAAGTCATGAGTTATGTATTTAAAATTTGTTACATTTATTTAATAGATCTGCGGAGGAGCTGAGAAATCGTGCTTTGAGTGCTGAACATCCACCATTGGATCAACGAAAAAGTTCTTTGGCATTCAAGGACTTATCAGCCCACACTATTGCTGAGCAGTTGACTTATCTTGAATATAGAATGCTTCGCAGAATACCAGTAAGCATTTTTGATATTGAGATTTAGATGTTGCAAATTTCTTTGTTTCTATAATATTAACAGTAACCTCCATTTGGCACAATAATATGCACACGTATTTGTCCGCAGACATTATTTGTTCCAAGATATGAACAGTTGTGGGAGAGCAGAGCATTAGGAAAAGTGTGTGAGCTTTGATAATGTTCAAGTTGGGACAAATATACAAGCATACTTTAGCACCAACTAGAGGCCAATATGTTTATTATATTACTTTGTTTCAGCTGGGGAATATTTGGCCAAGTGATGCATTTAGACCAGTCACGCACAAGCAAAAATACCCTCCCCCACAAAACTTATATACTTTGCTTGATGATAATTTGATAAAAATGGATTCATTAAAAACAATAAATAAACCAAGATATCCGTACACCCAGAGAAAAATGCAACTTCCCATCAACTTCAGACAAAAAGAGACAAATACAAGGCTATTGACATTTACTTTCTTTTTTTTTTTAAATGTGTTCATTCATGGACTATGCCAGTTGTTGTTATATACGTCTAGGTGAAGTCTTAAATGGACAAACAGTGTACCTCTTGAACCCTTCATAGGACTCATTAAGTCTGTAGCTTTAAAAGTCTGTTTGATATTTAGATATTTAGTTAAAACTATACTTGCTTTGTTAAAGCTTTGTTTGAAGAACAGTTGTGATTTGCATTTAATAATTAATTGTTATTTTAATTATTTGTAATTAGTTTTCAGAGTGGAAGACTTATGTTTGCACTGGAAAATTGACAAATACAAGTTACCTTGAGAGATATGTGGCACTATTCAATGGTGTATCAAGATGGGTGCAGGCCATGGTTTTGAACTGTGTTACACCTCAGGAGAGGGCTACATGTATGGAAAAGTTCCAACAAACAGCTAAGGTGAGATAAACTTTTAGATGGTTTGGCCAATGCAAAGTCACTATATGGTTAAGGTACGTGTGCACTGCACTAATACTTCTGTCAAAGTCAGAAAATCAAGAACACAAAACATTCTGGAAATGTTTATTATAATTTTACTCCTATTATTATTATTATTATTATTATTATTTTTATTATTATTATTATTATTATTATATGGAGATAGAAGTATGCACTCAAAGTGTTTTTTTAGCCACAAATTAGTTACTTACCTTCTTCTTACAGTGAAGTTCATCATCATTCATCATATTTTTCTCTTTTTCTCAGTGATACATGTATCCAAACAAGAAAAAACCCTAAATAATGTATTCTTTATCATATCTTGGTGTTAGTTTTTTTTTTTAATTTGATGCTAATTTTTCTTAAAATGACCTGACCAAAATGTACAACACAGTGATAAAAAAGGATATTGTTAAAAGAAGGTAAAGTCTAAGTATGATGCACGATCCTCGCAGTAGATAGCGCTATTTATGCAATAGCAAAAATCAGACCTGAAAAAAATCAGGCCTGTACGGGACTCGAACCACTGACCTCTGCGATACTAGTGCAGCGCTCTACCAATTGAGCTAACAAGCCAACTGGGAGCAGGCCGTTAAGTTGATTCGTAATAAACCCGTGAAAGTGATAAATGAGATACAATGAATATATGAAGTTCATATATTTTGAACTGCGGTATTAGATACGTATGATGCACGATCCTCGCAGTAGATAGCGCTATTTATGCAATAGCGAAAATCAGACCTGAAAAAAATCAGGCCTGTACGGGACTCGAACCACTGACCTCTGCGATACTAGTGCAGCGCTCTACCAATTGAGCTAACAAGCCAACTGGGAGCAGGCCGTTAAGTTGATTCGTAATATATGAACTTCATATATTTCATTGTATCTAATAAATAGATAAATAAATGAGATAAAAGATAATCTAGGGGAGAGAAGATCACCTCTCTTCAGGAAGCCCAACGAACAGAGTGCAGAGCGCTGCACTAGTATCGCAGAGGTCAGTGGTTCGAGTCCCGTACAGGCCTGATTTTTTTCAGGTCTGATTTTCGCTATTGCATAAATAGCGCTATCTACTGCGAGGATCGTGCATCATACGTATCTAATACCGCAGTTCAAAATATATGAACTTCATATATTTATTCTATCTCATTTATCACTTTCACGGGTTTATTACGAATCAACTTAACGGCCTGCTCCCAGTTGGCTTGTTAGCTCAATTGGTAGAGCGCTGCACTAGTATCGCAGTGGTCAGTGGTTCGAGTCCCGTACAGGCCTGATTTTTTTCAGGTCTGATTTTCGCTATTGCATAAATAGCGCTATCTACTGCGAGGATCGTGCATCATACGTATCTAATACCGCAGTTCAAAATATATGAACTTCATATATTTATTCTATCTCATTTATCACTTTCACGGGTTTATTACGAATCAACTTAACGGCCTGCTCCCAGTTGGCTTGTTAGCTCAATTGGTAGAGCGCTGCACTAGTATCGCAGAGGTCAGTGGTTCGAGTCCCGTACAGGCCTGATTTTTTTCAGGTCTGATTTTCGCTATTGCATAAATAGCGCTATCTACTGCGAGGATCGTGCATCATACGTATCTAATACCGCAGTTCAAAATATATGAACTTCATATATTTATTCTATCTCATTTATCACTTTCACGGGTTTATTACGAATCAACTTAACGGCCTGCTCCCAGTT